AAGGTGGTGATGAAGGCGCTCTGGAAGCACCAGTTCGCCTGGCCCTGCCGCCAGCCCGTGGACGCCGTTAAGCTCGGCTTGCCCGTGAGTTTTTTGGGGGTTTTAAGGGTTTTTTTTAGGGTTTTTTGGGGATTTTTTTGGGGATTTTTAGGGTTTTTTTTGGGTTTTTTTTTGGGATTTTTTAGGGGTTTTTTTAGGGTTTTTTGGGCATTTATTGGAGATTTTTGGGGGTTTTTTTTGATTTTTTGGGGATTTTTTGGGGGATTTTTAGGAGTTTTTTGGGGATTTTTTTGGTATTTATTGGTGTTTTTTTGGGGATTTTTAGGGGGTTTTTTGGGATTTTTTTGGGGATTTTATAGGGATTCTTGGGGATTTTTTTGGGTTTTTTTGGGATTTTTTTGCGGATTTTTTTGGGTTTTTTTCCGGGATTTTTAGGAGTTTTTTGGGGATTTTTTTGGTATTTATTGGTGGTTTTTTTGGGATTTTTTAGGGGGTTTTTGGGATTTTTTGGGGGGTTTTTTTTTGATTTTTAAGGTATTTTTTGGAGATTTTTTAGGGATTTTTTTGGGGATTTTTAGGAGTTTTTTGGGGATTTTTTGGCATTTATTGGTGGTTTTTTTGGGACTTTTTAGGGGTTTTTTTGGGATTTTTAAGGGTTTTTTCTGGGGATTTTTTTAGGGTTTTTTTTGGGATTTTTTTTGGGATTTTTTTTTTGTTTTTTTGGGGATTTTTTGGGGAATTTTTTTGGGTTTTTTTGGGTTTTTTTGCAGATTTTTGGAGGTTTTTTGGGGATTTTTTACGGGTTTTTTGGGATTTTTTGGGGTTTTCTGGGAATTTTTTGCGGGTTTTTTGGGGGTTTTTTGCGGATTTTTGGGGGTTTTTTAGGGTTTTTTGGGGATTTTTTTTTTATTTCTTAGGGTTTTTTGGGGATTTTTTTGGGATTTTTTGGGGATTTTTTAGGGATTTTTTTGGGGGGATTTATTGGGGGATTTTAGAAGATTTTTTGGGATTTTTTGCAGATTTTGGGGTTTTTTTTGGCGGATTTTTTAGGGTTTTTTTGAGATTTTGGGGGATTTTTTTTTAGGTATTTTTGGGATTTTTTGGGGGTTTTTTGGGTGGTTTTTAGGTATTTTTAGGAGTTTTGTTCCACCAAAATGCCCCCAAAACCCCAAAAAATTCCATAAAAATCCCCCCAAAATCCCCCCAAACCCCCCAAAATTTCCCCCATAACCCCCCTAAATTTCCACCAAAATCTCACCAAAATGCCCCAAAACCCCCCCGAAATTCCCGATTTTTTCCCCCTGTCTCTCCCCCTTCTATTTTTTTTTGCCGTTTTCTGTCTCCTGAGCCCCAAAATGTGCTTTTTTCGCCCCAAAATTCAGGATTATCACAAGATCATCAAGCAGCCCATGGACATGGGCACCATCAAGCGGCGCCTGGAGAACAATTACTACTGGGGGGCGGCCGAGTGCATGCAGGACTTCAACACCATGTTCACCAACTGCTACATCTACAACAAGGTACAAAAATGACCCAAAATCGCAGGAAAACGACCCAAAAATCGC